ATCAAAAAATACCTTGAAACAAGTGAAAATGGAAACGCAACATACCAAAACCTATGGAATACAACAAAAGCAGTGCTAAAAGGGAAGTTTGTAGCAATAAATGCCTACATCAGACAAATAAAACAATTGTAAATAAACAATCTAATGATGCACCTTAAGGAACTAGAAAAATAAGAACAAATCAAACCACAAATAAGTCAAAGAAAGTATATACTAAAGATCATAGCTTAAGTAAATAAAATGGTGACTAAAAACAGACAAAGAATCAGAAAAACATAATATTATGTTTTATTGCATTTTAGGTTTTGGGGTACATGTGAAGAACATGCAAGATTGTTGCATAGGTACACACATAGTAGTGTGATTTGCTGCCTTCCTCCCCCTCACCTATATCTGTCATTTCTCCCCATGCTATCTCTCCCCACCTTCCCATCCCTCCGTCCCTCCCCCATTTCCCCCCAACAGACCCCAGTGTGTAGTGCTCCCCTCCCCATTTCCATGTGTTCTCATTGTTCAACACTCACCTATGAGTGAGAGCATGCGGTGTTCGATATTCTGCCCTTGTGTCAGTTTGCTGAGAATGATGGTTTCCAGGTTCATCCATGTGCCTACAAAGGACATGAACTCATCGTTTTTTATGGCTGTGTAATATTCCATGGTGTATATGTACCACATTTTCCCTGTCCAGTCTATCATCGATGGACATTTGGGTTGGTTCCAGGTCTTTGCTATTGTAAACAGTGCTGCAATGAACATTCGTGTGCATGTGTCCTTATAGTAGAACGATTTATAACCCTTTAGATATATGCCCAGTAATGGGATTGCTGGGTCAAATGGGATTTCTATTTTCAGGTCGTTGAGGAATCGCCACACTGTCTTCCACAATGGTTGAACTAATTTACACTCCCACCAACAGTGTAAAAGTGTTCCTATTTCTCCACATCCTCTCCAGCATCTGTTGTCTCCAGATTTTTTAATGATCGCCATTCTAACTGGCATGAGATGGTATCTCAATGTAGTTTTGATTTGCATTTCTCTAATGACCAGTGATGATGAGCATTTTTTCATATGTTTGTTGGCCTCCTGTATGTCTTATTTTGTAAAGTGTCTGTTCATATCCTTCACCCACTTTTGAATGGGCTTGTTTTTTTCTTGTAGATCTGTTTTAGTTCTTTGTAAATTCTGTATATCAGCCCCTTGTCAGATGGGTAGATGAATGTTATTTTTAAAATGATAAAATTAATAAAATATTTTCTCTCTTTTATTCTTGGTTACTCTAAACTAACCAAGAATAAAAGAGAGAAAATAAAAATAAACAAAATCAGAATGGAAAAGACATTACAATTGATACCACACAAGTTAAGAAAGATCATCAGAAGCTATTACGAACAAATATACCCTAACAAATTGTAATACCTAGAGGAGGTAGACAATTCCACATACAACCCTACCAAAATTGAAACAGGAAGAAATAGAAAACCTGAATAAACCAGTGATGAGTAATAAAATTGAATCAGTAATAAATAGTCTCCCAGCAAAGGAAAGTCTAGGAACAGATTCTGAATTCTACCAAACATTCAGAAGAGAACACCAATTATCTTTAAAGTATTCCAAAAATTTGAAGAGGAGAGAATTCTCCCTGACTCTTTCTATGAGGCCAGCAGTGAAGACTCCTCCAAAGACTGAGAAGTGACCGTTATACACACCTATCATGATCTCATTTTTGACAAAGGTGTCAAGAACATACACTAGGGAAAAGACAGTCTCTTCAATAAATGGTGCTGGGAAAATGGGATATCTATATGCAGAAGAATGAAATTAAATCCCTGTCTCTGGCCACATACAAAAATTAAATGGATTAAAGACTTAAATCAAAGACCTCAAGCTATGAAACCACTACAAAAACAAACAAACAAACATTGGGAAAAATCTCTAGGACACAGGTCTGGGCAAAAACTTTTTGAGTAATATCGCAAAAGCATAGGCAACCAAAGTGAAATGGACAAATGGAATCACATCAAGTTCAAAACCTTTTGCACAGCAAAGGAAACAATTTACTTCAGGGTGGCAAGTTTCCCCAAGCCCTTGGCAGGTCCAGATGTGCCATCCGGTAGCAGGGATGAGCGTTAGAAACATTAGAAGTCTACCTGATACTCTATTGTACTGTGGATAAGCTGGCATTCAGACCAAAAGATACCATCTTTTACATTCTTCTCTACTCTTTCCAAAGGCAGAGGAGCCTACCCCTGTAGCCACTGCCATCACAGGCCACGGGGAGGGAGTATTGCATTCTACTCAATGTTCCCTTAAGGCCCAAGGACTCTTAAATCAGCTTATGGTGAATGCTGCCTGGCCTGGAACTCACCCTTCAGGGAAGTAGGCTACTCTCTGGCCCAGGGCAGGTTCAGACGTTCAGAGTCAATTCCTGGAATCGATTAAATCAAGGAGTCTAACAGCTCACTTGGTGCTCTACCCCTGTGTGGTTGTGCTGGTACCTAAGGTGCAAGACAAAGTCCACCTTAATTTTCCCTGTGCTCTTCTCAAGCAAAAGGAATGTCACCTTATAGCCATCACAGCTGGTAATGTGCTGAGTCTCCCGTGAAGTGGGCAATTCTCAGAGGCTCACCCAACTCCCTTGACTTAGTACCTGGGCATCACTGCTGGTTATTCAGTCCCAAGGGCTCTTTGGTTGGCAGATGATGAATGCTTCCAGGCCTGGGCCCTTCCCTTCAAGGCAACAGGTTGTCTAGAAATGTGTGTGCGTCTAGAAATATAGGCAAGGAGGTAAGGCTTGGAACAGGAACCTCATGACTCCTGCCATTTTGCTATCCTACTGTGGCTGAGCTGGTATCCAAGATTCAAGACAAAGTCCTCCCCACTCTTCAGTCTCTTCTCTCCAAGTAGAAAGAAAGGGTCTGTTTTGAAGCCACAAGCTTTGCAGGCTGGAGTTAGGGAGAGAGGTGATGCCAGCACTCCCTTAGCCACTACAGTTGGTGATTCTGTAGATCTCATTCCGCCCCCCACCCACTGTCCACTGGGGCCAGTTCAGCACTAGGACTCGCCTTGCCCATGAGTTGCAGTCCCTGTGGCCTAGACTGCCTTGCAAGTTTATTTAAAGAACAGAGTACTTTAGCCTGTGGTGGTGACATGTGCAGAAATTCAAGTTCCAATTACTGGGATTGGAAATTCCCCTCTGACTGGGGCTGCTTTAAATCCTCCATATGTGGGCAGATTTCAGCTGAGGATAAACCAAAAATAAAATTCTAAGCCTTCCAACCATCTGAACGAAGACCTCCTCTTGGCAACGACATTCCAAGGCTGACCGGAGGGACTGGTTCAGGCCATGATCGTGGGCAGGGGTCAGACATGCTTCATTATACCCTATCCCTTTTGCAATTACTGACAGAATAGAGTCCTTAAGTTTGATGTGAAGCATTTACAATCTATTCTCTCTGAAGCCTGATGCCTGGAAGCTTCATCTGCATGGTAAAACTTTGTTTTCCACAACCTGTTTTCAATATAACCCAGACATTACTTTCTATTGATTCCAGGTCTTATTAGATAATAACAACTTTTTCAACCAATTTCCATTAGAAAAATTTTAAATCAATCTATGAAGTACCATCCCCATCACCCTCAGCTTCCAGTTGTCCTGCCCTTCCAGACTGAACCAATGTTTGTACATCTTACATGTATTTGACTGATGTCTCATGTGTCTCTAATATGTATAAATTAAGCTGTACCCAACCACCTGGGGCACATGTTCTGAGGATCTCCTGAGGGCTGTGTCACAGGCTGTTAGTCACTTATATTTGGCTCAGAATAAATCTTTTCAAATATTCTACAGTTTGACTCTTTTCATACACGTGAGTTTGGTCTGGTTTTCCTTCAGCCTGTAATAGGACAGTGCTGAGTTTGATGCTTCGCAATTGCTGTACTTTCCCTCTCATAAGCACTCAGAGATGCTCTCTGCACCACACTGCTGCTGCTGTAGGTGGGAAAGGGCTGGCGTCAGCGATTCAAGACTGTTCTATCTTTTCAGTGCCTCTTTCAGTGATTCAGAGTTAAATCCAGGAACTGTGAGGGCTCATCTGACTTTTGGTTCTTATAAAGGGTTTTTTTCTGAGTAGATAGTTGTTAAATTGGTGTCCCTGCAGCAGGGGGACAATTGGTGGAGACTTCTATTCCTCCATCTTGCTCTGCCTCTCAGAAAATTCCCTACAAAATTAATCTGTGGAAGTCCTAAAACAGTACTTCAGAATTTGAATGTATTTGGCAATGGGATCTTTAATTAGGTAATTAATATGCCTGAAGATTTTTATTTATCTAATTTATCATTTATTTATTCATTTATCCAAGTAGCACCATTTAACAAACCTTCCTCATCTTCCAACTTCTAGTTATTGTACCACTAATGGAGACCTCTTTCTATGTGTGACAATTCTTCCTAAATTATCACTTCAGTTATGAATTCAACTTGCATATTTGAGAATAGATGTGGACTCCTCAGACCCTAATTATGTAAATCCTTTCATAGTACCAAATATTCCAGCCATCTCTAGATCAACAATCCAGTTATTTCTTTAGCTCAAACTAGGTCCATGGTACCATGTGAGATATGGCTGAAATCTTTACCTTTTATCTTGTCATAAGCAAGGAGATCACATGTTTGGAAGTGCAACAGGCATGATATACAAATGAGGCTTTAAGAAGGAACCAGTAAAAAGCAAACTCTGAAATGTTACAATCACTCCAACCCCAACCATTCAGACACAGGCTGTGGAATGAACAAATGCAAAAGACAGAACAGTGGGGAAAACATGTTTATTTTTATTACTTCAGGATCCGGTGACTGAGAGATGGGTAAGGTACTGAAGGTTATCGATGCAAAGTCAACAGAGAAGTGAGGGTTTGAATTGAGTTGGCGCGATGGTCCAGTTTAATTTTTGACTCCGTAGTAAATTGCAGGACCAGTTCTATGTGTCCATTTTCCAGTGCTTCTAGTTTTTGAACTTGCAGACAAAGGAAAGCTTTTCCTCACAAGACACATCCTTCCATCCCTTGAATCCTACAACACAATGAGAAGAGTCAGAATGAGGGGTTTGAAAGGAGTGTGGCCCCTCTCTGGATCTAGGACTCAGGAAAAGGAACAAGGAAAAACACTTCACCGTTTCCTGGAGGATGATCTCATCTCATCTCTACCCTAGTTCCTATGTTCATCCCCAGAGCTAAGCAGGAGGGAATGGTGAACAGATGGATGGCTTCTCTGCCTCTTACCTGAACTTGAAGTCAGGCTCGCACAGTAGCCAGGATTGATACTACTTGGGGATCCAGTGACCCAGGATTTGTAGGAGACGAGGGAACCATTGCTCCAGCACCAGTGGCGGATCTGGATGGAGAAAGGCCAGAGCAGGAAAAGAGGTGACTTGGAAAAAGAAACACCTGGCCTAGGCATATACTCAGTAACAGGCCAAACATAAAGCAAGAATAAACATTTTTTTTTCCCATGAATAGAACATCTTTTCCTCTGCTTTTGCTCTAAGTGTCTCCTTTCCTGGAATGTCCAATTCTCTCCCACAAAATAATAAATGTCCTGAAGTTGATACCAAAAAAATAAAAGCTCATTATAGAACGTGGTTTCTTAATTTTCTCTCCTGAGACCCCTGACCCTCATATTCACCATATCACTGGTTGCCCATTAGTTGTCGGTATATTGTTTAATATAATACGAGGCTCCCAAATGCCATCAGTTGATTGTCCTCCGCTAGTCTCTTTTTACATATACTCTACAAAGAAATATTGTTCAAGACAGACAATAATAAGTAAGAGGTGGTATATAAAGATGCTTTCCTAGAAGTAGTAGAATGAGCTTATGTGTAAACGAATGCCCAGAACACTTGGGATATCCAGGTTCCATTCATCTCTCCAACCACCTGCACTGAATCTCACTGCCTCATATGTAATAGAATCTATAAAGACATCCCTTTTATTAAAAATAATAAAGGATAAAAGCTGTTTCTAGCGTTCCCTAAACTTGGACCTCCTCTTTCTTATCAAAATTGATAATCGAGAGATAAAATAGGCGGTAGACTGACCTTTTTGGGGTCATAGAGGCCAATCCAGATACTGCCGACATCAGTGCTGCTTTCCTTAATCAGTGAGGCCACGAAGGCGTCCTCGGCCTTGGTGAGCACAGACACCAGGTTGCCTGAATTCATGTTCCGGCAGTAGAGCTGTTGGAGAGGAAAATGGAGCACTCAGTGGAGGAGGAAAGTGTGAAGGATATATTGAGCCCTTATAGAAGATTGACAGCTAAAAGACAGCATAGAAATGTCCCTGATGATGCTGTCACTGACCACCAGCATCTCTGTGCTGAATGATGGGATAAAGTAGATTGAAACGTTTTGGGCTGATGATTGGATGAGGAAGGGATTAGTCTTATCTCATATCAGCCACTGAACACACTGGAGAGTGGCAGCTTTGCCTTCTTTCATGAGCCTCCCTTCCCACACTGCTCTCCTCACTCGCATCTGCATCAACCCAAGTCTCAAGGTCTTCATTAAAGTAGTAGCAGTAAGATCCATAGGCATTGGTGCCTTCTGGGCAGCTGATCCAGGCCTGGGGCAACTCTGTTTGGACCTCTTGGCCTTAAACAGAAGGAAAAATTAAGAAAGACCCTCAGAGCAGGGCAAAGGCTGGATGGTGAGGTATGAGCTTCTGAAGTTCCTATATAGGAACAGAAAGATGACGCTGGGTGCGGTGGCTCAAGCCTGTAATCCCAGCACTTTGGGAGGCCGAGGTGGGTGGATCACGAGGTCAAGAGATCGAGACTATCCTGGTCAACATGGTAAAACCCCGTCTCTACTAAAAATACAAAAAACTAGCTGGGCGTGGTGGCGCGTGCCTGTAATCCCAGCTACTTAGGAGGCTGAGGCAGGAGAATTGCCTGAGCCCAGGAGGCGGAGGTTGCGGTGAGCCGAGATCGCGCCATTGCACTCCAGCCTGGGTAACAAGAGCGAAATTCCATCTCAAAAAAAAAAAAAAAAAAAAAAAAAGATGTAGTTAGTAGGTCATGGATGGATGATTGGTCACTTCTGCCCTCCTGCACCCTACCTCTTCTTTCTCAAGATGTCTTTACTTAAGACAAGAGCTCAAAATTAATAGGGTAATGAAATGTATCCTTATTGTCCCTTTTACTTCTGAGGCTCAGGCTTTTTCTGTCTTAAAGGCTTCTGCTTTTCTCAAGCCTGTCTGATTTCTCTACACACAAAGCTCCTCTCAGTTGCCCATTCCACAAATGACTGTCTACATACAGACACCCCCAAGCACCCATCATGAATAGAGCTAATATGATAAACCAGTGCCAACTGCACTGGTCACTGATAAAGGCTCAAGCTAAGTTCCATCTCTAACTCTCCGCTGTGGTGAGTAAGTTTGTGAGTGGAATGAGCTCAGAAATAAAGATCACTGAACAACACAAAACAACCCCTGATGTTGACTCTGCTTTTTCCCAAGTGAACCCATATGCATGAGGATGGAGTGAAAGCTTCAGGGTTGGGGTTGCAGGAGGTGTGAGGAAAAAAAAGTCTCACCTTGGCTCAGAGTCAGGAACATCAGGCAGGAGATCAGCATGAAGCATATGTTGGTCTGAGCCATGCTGAGCAGCAGTGAATCTCTTGCTTAAGGGGCAAATCAGAAATCTCTATAGGAGAACACAGGGAAGAGAGTTTGCGCAGTGAAGAGCAGCACATAGTTACCTTGCTTATGGCTTCCTCTCTCTGAATTCCTGATGGCAGCAAGGCCACCTGAGATATCCACACCCTCAGAATTTCTCTGTATAGTTTGGAGATTATACAGCTCCTATAACCCAGAAGCAGATTTGTCTCCTGCTTAGGCTTCATTACTGCTGAGACCGTTTGGTTAGAAAATTATCCTGAAAGTTCCCCAAGATGAAAGAGGAGGAACCCATGTTAGAGTTGCCCTCCTCCTATAATACCCACTTACCTGTTTGCTGGGTCTGAAGTGGCTTGTTGGACCAGGCACTGGTCAGAAGTTTATTTCAAGATCTAAGAAAAGAGCTGTATAAATTAAGCAAGAGGTGAGGCGAGGATTGAGGATCAGAGGGTCTACTTAGGGCACTGAGATGGAGAGATTCTGGCAACAGAAATAGTTTCTTCCTGGAACACACTGGGAGTGATTACAAATGACATAAACTTACCACAAACAGATTGGCAAACTGTCCAAATGCAAGTCAGGCTTGCCCTTCCTCAGCAGCTACCAGGTGCCCAGTTCCTATGACCTTTAGCAGTTCTAGAAAGAGCAGAGGAGTAGATTTCCTTATCCTCTCTGTAAATATGGAGTCCCTTCTTTGATATTATGCACAGGTAGCAGTGGAGAAGAACTGGCTGAATCCACATGATTAAGCATAATTTGCTGGTTGTTCAGTTTGTTCCTCTATTTTTTTTTTTTTTTTTTGAGGCGGAGTTTCGCTCTTGTTACCCAGGCTGGAGTGCAATGGCACGATCTCGGCTCACCACAACCTCCGCCTCCTGGGTTCAGGCAATTCTCCTGCCTCAGCCTCCGGAGTAGCTGGGATTACAGGCATGCACCACCATGCCCAGCTAATTTTTGAACCTTTAGTGGAGACGGGGTTTCACCATGTTGACCAGGATGGTCTCAATCTCTTGACCTCGTGATCCACCCCCATCCGCCTCCCAAAGTGCTGGGATTACAGGCTTGAGCCACCGCGCCCAGCCTATTTCTTTTCTTTTCCTTTTCTTTTCTCTTCTCTTGTTTTCCTTTTTTCTTTCTTTCTTTTTTTCTTTTTTGATACAGTGTCTCACTCTGTCACCCAGGCTGGAGGACAGTGGTGTCATCTCAGCTCACTGCAATCTCTGCCTCCCAGGTTCAAGTGATTCTCCTCCCTGAGCCTCTTGAGTAGCTGGGATTACAGGTGCATGCCACCATGCCAAACTAATTTTTTGTATTTTTTGTAGAGACGGGGTTTCACCATGTTGGCCAGGCTGGTCTCAAACTCCTGACCTCAAGCAATCTGCCCGACTTCACCTCCCAAAGTGCTGGAATTACAGGCATGAGGCACCGCGCCCTGCCATTCCTCTGTTTCCTTTCAAGTTCAGGAACCTCACATGACCTACTTCAGATGGCAAGCCTTCAGAGTTACATATATGTAAACCAGTATGTCCAGCCAGGTTTTAGTGTAAGTAGCTAAGCAGGTGGGAACTGTACTGTGAGCTAATGCTTAAGAAAGCTCAAAGTAGCTGGATATGAGGTTAGGCTTCATTGAAGACTTTGATATTAAATTAACAGTTTCTTAGAGTGAAGTCACAGATGATGTGATGAAATTAAGCATTTAGCAGAATCATCTGAGTATTTAGTGAAATCATCAAAAAAACCAATTCAGAATGGAATATTAGGAAATAAAAACTAACCCGAATGTTCACAGACAGATGTATCAATTGGCGTAAATAAATAAATAAATAATGTATTATAAGTTACTAAACACATTAAAGCAAATAACCTAGATAATTATCAACATGGCTATTTCAAAAACATAATGTCAAAGACAAAAATGTCAGTTCCAGGAATTTATAAACTATTTAATACAATGCATAGATGTTTAAAAAAGATAGAGATTAATATTGTATGATATTTATTGGTCAATTCCCATGTAGTTTAAAGAATAAAAATCTGAAATTCAAGAATGCATATAACCATTTATTTATTTGCATAATTTAGAGTGAGTTTTTAAATCTTTCCTTTGTTTTATAAAAGCTAAACGTTTTAAACAAAGATGACAAACATTAATACTGTTTATTCCAAATGATAGCTTTATACATAATTGTTAAATTAGTCCATTTAATTTCTGCATTTACTAAAATGAATTATGCTTTCTAAAAAGCTTATTACCAGGGAAAGATGTCTTTCTTGTTTCTATAAATAAGAGGTTAAGTAATACTCTATAGAGTCAGGAAAGGATACAGTAGGCAGAAATTCAGTATATTTGGTACCATCATAGGTTGATATGGTAAAAAGCAAAGACACAATTAATTAAACAAAAATTAAAACAAGTAAAACATTTTGTGACATTGCTTAAAAATATAAGAGTTCGGGCTGGGCGGGGTGGCTCAAGCCTGTAATCCCAGCACTTTGGGAGGCCGAGGCGGGTGGATCATGAGGTCAAGAGATTGAGACCATCCTGGTCAACATGGTGAAACCCCGTCTCTACTAAAAAAATACAAAAAATTAGCTGGGCATGGTGGCACGTGGCTATAATCCCAGCTACTCAGGAGGCTGAGGCAGGAGAATTGCCTGAACCCAGGGGGCGGAGGTTGCGGTGAGCCGAGATCGTGCCATTGCACTCCAGCCTGGGTAACAAGAGCGAAACTCCGCCTCAAAACAAACAAACAAACAAACAAACAAATAAACAAAATACAAAAGAGTTCATCTACATTTCAAGGACACTCCAGACAAGCAATGACTTTCCAGGTATAAAAGATCTGATACTTTATAATGCCTATCCAAATATATTACTGCTAGTGTGATATAAAAGAGAGATATAAAACAAATAATAATTGAGAGTGTACTCTCATAAAAACCTTTATTGCCCTAAATAGCTCTATACCTGTTGAGATAGTTACCTTTATTTCTTGCATATATGACCGGCCAAATTCCACATCCAAGACCAAAAAAAATTTAGGACATTTACTGGCAGCCACTTTGGTTCCAAAGTGATGCCTTTTTCAAGGAAGCTGTGGTTCCTGTTCCTTCAATGCTTATCTTATTTTCCTCAGTAAGCCCAGGTTCTTTGTTCTGACTGAGTTTTATGACATTCCCATAAGCTCATTTAAGTCTTTTTTTTTTTTGAGATGGAGTCTTGCTCTGGCTGAAGTGCAGTGGCGCAATCTTGGTTCACTGCAACCTCTGCCTCCTGAGTTCAAGCAGTTCTCCTGCCTCAGCCACCCAGGAAGCTTGGATTAAATGCGCATGCCACCTTGCCTGGCTAATTTTTGTATTTTTAGTAGTGACAGGGTTTCACCATGCTGACCAGGCTGGTCTCAAACTCCAGACCTTATGATCCACCGGCCTCCGCCTCCCAAAGTGCTAGGATTGGAAGAGTGAGTCACTGCTCTGGGCCCATTTAAGTCTTTTCTACCAAATGCACTTTGAAAGTCTTGTCATAGATGGAAATCATTACCCTGCATATCTAGTGTTAATGTAGCCTCAAGTGGGGCAATCTCTTGATATGCCTTAATAAGGCTTAGGAAGTTTCAAAGCTATGGCTGATTTTTGGTGTTTTTGGCCACTTCCTCATAGATTTTCCCTGCTTTCCCACCCTTGAGGTAAAGATTTTACACTTATGATGGAGAGATAATCTCCCTCTGTTTTTGATCCTTGGCAGGCATGTGAATACTGCAAACATTAGACCTAAGAGGAAATTCGCTGAAGTAGTATCAGGTTCGCTGAGGACTTCCATGGTCTGCTTGTGCTCTGCAATGTAAGAAATCCTTCTTACAACTTGGCTTCCTGTGCTTCACGAGAAAGCTCTAGTTTATTTAACACAAGCTCTAGTTTATTTATTATTTCACTGAATTTTCTTTATGCCATGTACTATTCTAAATGTTTTACAAATAAGAACTCACTTAATCCCATGACATTCTGAAAATATAGGTGCTATTTGCAGCCATATTTAAGATATGAAGAAACTACAGATGAGATTTGGCTTAAGTAATTTACTTAATATGAAACAGCTACTAGGTACTGAAGCAAAATCCAAACTTCAGCGTTAAGTTTTGCTTTAAGGTCATTTAGTTATCTCAACTATCTTTCTGAATTCCCTTGATTTATCTGCACATTCAATCCATCCAGCTCTCTCCACATTCAGTCATCCAGTTTTGATTGATTTCACCAAATAACTAAATTAGAAAGAATAAGACATCTTATTTGTTAGCACAACAGGATGACTATAGTAAAAGATAATTTAATTAAATGTTTTAAAATAATGAAGAAAGCATACCCTGATGTGATTATTAGGCATTAAATGCTTGCAATAAAATATCTCATGTAACTCATAAATATATGTACCTACTATGTACCAGAAAATGAAAATAAATAAGTAAATAATCACTTAGTAATCATAGTCATACCACAAGCCCCAACAGAAGAACTTCAAAGGTTAATAAATGTAAGATACCAAGCACCTGATCCTTAACTCACAATTTAATTGGACCTTTATATATTCTAGCATGACAATCATGCCTGTATGTGTGTTTGGCACACAGGGAGCTGTTCTTCACCATCTTTAGCACAGATAAGAGCAAACTTCACCAGAAGTCACCCAACAAAAGGGTCAGAAAATTTGAAGTTTTGTTGGAATCTTAGAAGGTTAGAAAGCAAGTCAGGGTCTTTTTTCTCCTTTCCTCATGTCTCAGCACTTTTCCATGGAAAGAGAAGCCACAAAAACACTAAGAAAAGACTAAACCCTTACAGAAAACCATCCATGATCTCTTAAAGTCTTGCATCCCTAAAGAGTTAGAAACCCACACCTTAACAAGCTTACACATATTTACTTTATTTAGTAGGACTACGGAGTCTCAGAAAAGTTGTAAACTCCTCAAATGCAAAAAGAGAAGCTATTT